TTGGAAAGTTCGGGATAAGTCCTCGGGTGTGGGTTAGCGCCCAAAGGATTTATCCCAAATGTTCAAACTAGTTATATATGAAATGAAAAAGTCTCTGAAATACAATTTATGTAAATTAAAATGAGATAATAAAACAAATATTAACTGTCCTAATAACCGGTTCCGACGGAAATTTATATATTTTTAAGTGACCTCTGTGTACCCCCGAAATGTTTTACCTTCAACTCCAAAGTTTTTTCGTCTCCCCATCGCCCTTCTCCAATTTTATCAAGCATTGCATTGCTACACTCATCCTCGTATAGCTTCAAGTATAGTAAGTAACACACTTTTATTTGGGAAAGGTAGATGTAATGCCATTTCCAATTCGCCAATACAGTATATTCCGGTGTTACTATAGTGTGCGGTTGGATTAGGTCAGGTTAGGTCAGGTAAGGTTAGGTAAAGTCAGGTTAGGTTAAGTAAAGTTAGCTTAAGTAAAGTTTGGTTAGGTTAGGTTAGGTTAGACTAAAAATATCTTTGTAGACCGAAACTCTAAATTTTGGATTTTGGTCTTTATTTACAAGTGTATTGGGTATTTATTCAGTGTTATGCAGTGATGCAAAAAAGGGGGAGGGACATCACCACTTTACAATACTCAGCACCCATGAAAACACCTAAACCCACCTCCCATATACAATATTACCACTAGGCCATAATTACAGTGCAGTAATATCTTCATTACCCAGAATTTGCCGATACGTACTCAGAAGTGAAATTGGCTCAGAGTTTTCCCGGGAAATTTTTCAACATTCCGGCTCTGTGAACGAGTTTTCAAGGTTGAAAAAAACTGTTATTTTTTTTTTCACTCCGAAAAATTCTCTTGAGCAATTTGATTCCAGGCCTTGGAGAAAATTAAGAGGTTAAATATCAGGCACATTTTCTGGAATTTTTTATGAAAACCTTCTGAAACTCTCCAAGTTTTTTCCCGGATGTCCGAGGATGAAAGAATGTTTAAACTCGGAAACTTTTACTGTACATGTAACTGGAAACATTCTAGGTATGTGGGATTTTTCATGGTTTGAGAGTCTTGTTATTTGGAAGTCTCTCATCCCAGGAAGAGTTCTGCACCAATTATTCTGGCGAACGGGGATACCACCTGTATGTTGCACTTTATAGAGGGTGATTCTCTGAAGAACTTAAAATGTAACACAGTAATATATATCATCATAGGAGCCCTTTTGTTTACCATAATCAGGATAAGCAATGCTTGACAAAACAGTAAGTAAAAAAAAAACTATCCTACAGGATGCAGTATTACGCACACCTGCAACTCATAACTGCATCGAGATACTTTAGCAGTGGCAGCTTCCAAATCAGTATGGCAGACTGCTTGAAGATTCCTGTCTCACCAGTTTGCAAGTTTGTCACAAGCCTTGCAACCATTTTGACCCTTACGGCAAAAGATTGCATCCACTTTCCAGAATCAGGTAACATACGAAACGTTGCAGATGAATTTCACACCATTGCAGGGAAGTCTAGTGTATTTAGCTGCATTGATGGGTCTCATATCCCTATTAGAAGCCAAAGAGGGAACACAGCTGAACTACATCGATGTAGGAGGGGTGTAACTGATACATGGTTTTGATTTGTATAATGTAGTTTGTTTGAAAGTAGAGCAAGTGTAAGGGCAAATGGAAGCATTATTGATTTGATAAAAAAAATTGTTTTAGATAATAGATTTTATTATCAAGGTTATTTTTTCAATAAATTTTTTGGCTTTAAATAACACATTTTATTCCCTCCAAACAATAACACAGTACAACTTGAAACAGTATATATCACAGTACAGCACAGTACAGTACAGTACAGTATTTGAAATTATATCATTCAAACAGTTTAGTATTTTGATTGGAATAATAAATGTACACATTTTTAAAGGCTTCAAAGTACACTACTATACTGGAATAGTTTGCAATTGTCAGAGAATTCAATAAACAATTTTATTTCCTCTAAATAAGAACAAGCAGTAAAACCAAATTTATCACAGTACCTGTACAGTGTACAGTGTTGTATATAAATTAATAGTAATCATACTTAGTTTGAAATTGCAAATACAGTAATAGCAATTATCATTCTTGAAAGATTTTAGAAGTACTGTACTGTACTGCACCTGTATTGAAATTATAATTAAAGTACAAAAGGAATGTGAAATAAATGAATGATTATAATTCCCCAAAAAGTACGAATATATAATACACAGTATCACAGTATATTGTATATGAAATTCTAGCAAAAAATATGTTGAATGTATTTTTGTTGCGCAAGAAGTAAAAGAACAAAAAATCACAATAAATGTTTGAACATAAAAAATATGATTTCACCTTTCCATTAAGTGCAAAAAAACAGTAAACACAGATAAGAAAACGCAATTAAAATTCTCCAATGAGTATGAGTGTACAATACACAGTATAACAGTAGTGTATATTGTATCTGACAATCACAAATTAAGTTGAAAGAACCTATTTTTCACAAAAGAACAAAAAAAATCTTAAATGTTGGAACATGATTTTTTTCATATTCTCCATTAAGTGCAAAAAAAAAATAGTAAACAGAGAGAGAGATAGAAAAAAACCCCACAATTTATACATTATCAATTTTGATACTTATGGCAAAGTCTCCATAATTTAATTAGATTGCCCACAGCCAGAGGTGGACTTATGGCTGCACTCTTGACATATGCCACTGCTCAACAACCTTAATGCTTGCTCTAAATACAGTATGCACAGATTGGGCTGATTATGTATTGTACACTCGGAAACCATAATCTCTAGCCCTCCTGGGTCGGTGCTGGAGGTTAGTACATCATCCATTCCGGACGGTGCCCACTCTAACTATCACAAGGCAACACACGCACGAACACACACAGTCATAGTACGGCTGTATAGATGAGATTATGTATAAATATAGTATATGGCATTTTATACTCTGCATTATCTTCATTATATATGAACACGAAGAAAAATTACCATAGGTTGTAGTTACGAAATTATGAATGGAAATAAACCCAGTGAATCCACAAAACGTTTACAGCGCTTGTGTGTGTGTGTGCCACACCACGATGCTTTCACCATACACCATCTATATCTTTTATTTTCCCATCATTCGTATAACTATATGAAAAATCGTGTTTAATTTGACTACATATTTCAAAAACCTTAAATTACATGTGGATCAGTCACTCCTTATTTGACACACTATAGTGTAATACTTTGACCATCCCACCTGGGCACATGGAGGCCCACGATAACTCTCATGGGGCAACATACGCATGAACACACAAGTTATGATATGAACCCTTCCAGGATTCACTATCATTATCATGTTGTTCATCGTGCTCTGTATCTTGGTAACTAGTCATAGTATCAATACATGACAGTGTTATTAGTATATTATTGTAACTTTTGCCCTACAGTTATTGTTGTAAATCATGGACAGGAAGGATACATAAATTGTAATATCAAGTGTATGGTTCGCTCAAAGCCACCCCAAGTCAGACAACGCGTCACATAAAGTTACACTGTGTGTGTGTGTGTGTGTGTTCTGTAACACCCTTTAGTGTCCAACGTTCCCATTTTGGGAACATAACTTTCAAATATTCTCCCGTGATTGTTAACATAATATTCTAATTTATTTCATAGCAGATATATTGTTATACATCTAAATTACTATTCTGCATAAAAAGATTCCAATACTCTGTAATACCCATGTTACTTTTTGTGGTATGTTCTGAAGGAATTTGATGTAAAAATGACTACTCGAAATAAACATTTTCTCTCAATAAAAAAAATTCTCCTTGAGTTATTTATTTACATGGTGTGCTGTCTAAGTACTCCTTCTTATCTTATACATTTCAATAAATGTGATTTATATTATAATTATGTCGCTATAAGTGTTTTTGTATGATGTTCCCAAAATGGGAACGTTAGACACATCCGTAGTCTGCCTACCCTTATTTACTCATCAACGTGAATGAGCATGTCTGGTTTGTTGGGTTGTCCGGTGGCTGACACAACAAGTTCAAACAAGTATTTAGGAAAGGAAATGTTTGAAATTTTCAAACTTTTCTTCACAGATGAAATCATAAGTCACCTAACAGAACAAACAAATTTGTATGCTCATCGAGACAAAAACAACAAAGACTTCTGTGTTGATGAGAATGACATGATGAAGTTTTTGGGACTTCTCTTGATCAGTGGATATCACAGTGTTCCCTCTGAAAATGACTACTGGTCATCAAGCGAAGACTTGGAAATACCAATATTCGCCAAGACTATGTGCAGAGAAAGGTTCAAATCCATCAAGAGGTACTTTCATGTGGCTGATAATAACAATTTGGAAAATTCAAAGGTGGCCAAGATTCTGCCCCTCCTTCACATGCTGAGAAATAATTGTCAAAAACATGGAATTTTTCATGAATTTCTCAGCATTGACGAATCAATGATCCCGTACCGCGGACACCACAGCGCCAAACAGTTCATCAGAAACAAACCTGTTAGGTTTGGTTACAAGATGTGGATGATGTGCAGTGCTGACGGTTATCCTTATAACTTTTCTATTTATTGTGGAAAAGATAAAAGCAAGAAGGAGCTTTTAGGCTATCAAGTTGTCATGGACATGCTACAGCCAGTGGTGAATAAAGATGAACATGTTGTATTTTTCGACAACTTTTTCACTAGTCACGCATTGATGATTGACCTTACAAGCAATGGGTTTAGAGCCTGTGGAACAATCAGAGATAACCGCACAGGAAAGTGCCCTCTTCTATCAAAGAAAGAACTTGAAAAAAAAGAAAGAGGTTCATACGACTACAGATCGGATGATTCCGTCCTATGTTCTAGATGGAATGATAACAGCATTGTTACAGAGCTAGCAACTACTATGGAGTCAGTCCTATGCAAAAAGTAAACAGATGGGTAAAAAATGAAGGAAGGAAGGCAATAAACCAGCCACATATGATAAAAATGTATAACAAAGGAATGGGTGGTGTAGATGTTTGTGACCAGATGCTGTCAACCTACAGGCCAAGACTACGCTCCAAGAAATGGTGGTGGAATATTTGGTCTCATCTACTGAACCTCTCCATTGTAGCTAGTTTCAGATTCTACCAGCATGTAAATCCTGGCTCTCAGATCAGCCATAAGGATTTCAGGCGTGAAATAGCTCGCACACTTGCAAGAATCGAAACACCAAGATTACGAGAAGGTGGTCCAACATCCTCTGTACCAAAAGCAATAAGATATGATAATGTAAACCACTTTCTTCAGGAGTTTTCACAAGGTAGATGCTATGTATGCAAGAAAAACACACGTCTGAAGTGCATCAAGTGCGAGAAAAGACTTCACAAGGCGTGCAGTATCAACTTCCATAAGAAATGATTGTCAAACTACTTTTCAGAATTTGAGTGTAATTGCTTATTTTGATAATACTGATTATATATATATATATATATATATATATATATATATATATATATATATATATATATATATATATATATATATATATATATATATATGATAATATCATGAATGTACTCCGGAAGTGTCCAACGTTCCCATTTTGGGAACATACTCAAAATACAAAAATAAACCAGAAAGGGAAAAAAGAGAGTTTTATTTTCATTCAGTGGATTTATACGAAATACTTCCGAAAGTTGTGGCTCTATACCTAAACTTTATAAGGCTACGGTCACTAAAGGGTTAAGCTTCATCATTAGTAGGTAAGATGTTTCATAAAGAGGTTACTCCCATTCGTCATTGTGAGCATCGTCCCAGAGCACATTGTTTCCATCAAAACAATGGTTCATCCTTATTTCCCTTCTTCCGTGCAACTATATCCATATGGCTAAGTGCTTTCTTTTCTTTTCTTTATTTACCAAAATAATATGGATCAGTTACTCGTTATTTAACACATACATGCACTTAGTGCATCAAGATTGTTTTGTAGGCATGACTATTGGTTAATTGAAACCCCAAAAATATTTTTCACATTTATTATGCATAAACATTGTAAATATATCTATGTGATTATTGTACTATATAACATATATTTAATGTCTGGACAGATTCCCAAGAGTTATGCATATTAATGCATAGATTTTGTAAGCATATTTATGTGAAGTGACGTAAAACCACAGAGTAAATATAATACCTGGACAAATTCCTGAGTGTTAGGAAACGAAATCGATGTGGCCCCAACGAGGTTACCCCAGAGAGCTAACTCCCCCGCCGCCCCCTACAAGGCACCGTTGTGAGCGGAGATTAAATTATTGATCACAGGATCCCGAGGCAAGACTACTACTACTGAGACACCTCGTGCCCATAGGTTAATACCGTGTCCAACCTCCATCTGCTGCTATAATTTCATGCAATCTGGTGGGCATGGAATCTACCAGATTGCTGCAGATGTTCGGCCTCCTCCTTAGTCCCTCCCACACATTATGTGCGTGTCTCCTCACTGCCTCCCTCTTTTTCTCCTCAACATCCCATTCAACAACCATATGCGCCCATAGATTTTCGATTGGATTACAATCGGCTCCTTTAGGGGGCCAGTCCAAGAGAATAATCTGCGGGTGCGCCTCAAACCAACGCTTGACTGCCCGACTTGTATGTATTGGACTGCGGTCTTGCACCATACATATAGACTGTGGGTCTGGGATGGCATATGAGTTGCTGGCAGGATGGTTAGCAGTCCTGTTGAACTGGCAGGTAGACAAAATAGAAAACTCACAGCCAAACTGTAAGAAAACCCATGGACAATGAGACATTAGCAAAATATACTAGGTCCTTGCGAGGCTGTTTGGTTATACTATGCTAACTAGTTTGCTAGGGTGAGGAAAAGTATATATATATATATATATATATATATATATATATATATATATATATATATATATATATATATATATATATATATATATATATATATATATATATATATATATATATATATATATATTTATTACAACATATATTTAACTTTTCTCAACAAATGCAAGGATGAACTATACTACTTACCCTTTGAGCAACCGTGTCCACACTGACACAGCAGGCCTCTCTACACACGACGTCAGGTCGGTCATTCCCATGTCCTTTCGTTCTTCATTTCGTAACTTCAGTGTGTGGTGCTTTCCCTCACGTCCAATGGTTAAACGATATTTTTTACGGTTTGCAATAAAATGCAATATTACAGTATATTACAGTAATATAGATTTTCCTCCATGTATTGATACTATAACTAGTTACCAAGATACAGAGCACGGCGAACATAACATGATAATGATAGTGAAGCCTGGAAGGGTTCATATCATAGCTTGTGTGTTCATGCGTATGTTGCCCCGTGAAAGTGACCGTGGGCCTCCATGTGCCCAGGTGGGATGGTCAAAGTATTACACTATAAGTGTGTCAAATGAGGAGTGACTGATCCACGTGTAATTTAAGGTTTTTGAAATATGTAGTAAAATTAAACACGATTTTTTATATGATGGGAAAATAAAAGATATAGATGGTGTGTGGTGGAAGCATCATGGTCTGGCACACACACACACAAGCACTGTAAACGTTGTGTGGATTCACTGGGTGGCTTGGAAGTGTTTATTTCCATTCATAATTTCGTTACTACAACCTATGGTAATTTTTCTTTGTGTTCATATATAATGAAGATAATGCAGAGTATAAAATGCCATATACAATACTTATACATAATGTCATCTACTGTATGCAGCCGTACTATGACTGTGTGTGTTCATGCATGTGTTGCCTCATGATAGATAGAGTGGTCCCCCGTCCAGAAAGGACCCTGTACTAACCTTCAGCACTGATCCAGGTGGGCTAGAGAATATGGCTTCCGACTGTGCATATTAGTGAAGGCCTTTAAAGCCTCCGATATAGCACCATTCAGTTCTTGTGTACTGTCCTTAATAATGTCATTGACGCATTCATTCCTCTTGTTCATCTGCTTCATTTTCTTCCCCCCCCCCCGTCACTGGATGTTGATGCTACTGTTACTGCTGGTGCAGTTGGATCAGTTGATCCAAGTGTTCCTGCTGGTGCAGATGCTGGCATTATTGGTGGTGGTGTCTGCCTTTTCCCTTGAAGGCGAACTTTTATCTCCACAACTCATATTTCTGCTTCAATTTTGGCGCGCAGATCGACCTGGTTTGTTGACATTTATCTTGGATAAGACGTAACAACCCTCTCGAGTTGCGGCGTTCATGTTACTAAATAGTAACTCGATGTTCGGGATTGATATTCGAGTTTGACGAATCCATTTGACGGGTAACTAAACAGTAACCCGACATTCGGGATTGCTCTTCGGGCTTGCTGCCCCGAGTGTTTAAAAAAATGCCTGAGTATCGTCCAAACCCCTTGAGTGGATACGCACTAGCTACCAGGAGTTACTTGGAGCAATACTAGGAGTTAAGTGGAGTTATAAGCTCGCACACGTGAGTGAAAGAACATAGTGATTATTTGCATTATGGTCAAATGTTGTGAACTACATACGTACATAGTGTAAGGAATTTGGATAATAACCTATCAGAATAGTGTATTTACTAACTGACATATAATGTATACTTGTAATGCATTGTATTCAGTAGTTAACAAGTGTTTCACTTACATGTTTTGACCATATCAATCAATAAACGCTGAGTGAGTCCACGTTGCGGGTTTCTCTCACCCTTAAGATGTGTCGTCACCTAACTGTCGAACATTCGGCAGTTAAGGTATGTATGGTAAAGATAAGGATAGAGTATACAGTCACTCATAAAAGTTCGTGGGGGTCCGTGTCTGTGTGTGCCAGTCCAGTCCCCACCTATTTCTGGACGGCGAGTCTATGTTTAGCGATGTGACAACGCACACACGCACATACACACACGGCAGAACTGTCTTTTATGTAATCAGGTCAGACAGGATTATTTTTCTCAATCAGTTATTCTCGTTAGTCATAATCAGGTTACACATTCAGTGTTGTATGATAAGATATGTGTGAGAGGTTTAAATAATAGACCACGTTCTTTGCAGACTTTACTCTTACAGCGTCAGATGGTGAATGGCAACCGGGCGCTGCCACAGACAAGCTCCCACCTCAACACATGGGAAAACATATCGTACAATGGTACTCCATTTCACAATCTCACATCTCCCCCCCCCCAAGTTAAAAGGAAATAACAATGCACATTTGAACTAACAAAAGGAAAACAATGCATTCATAAAAAACAATAATGCAAGTAAAAACCAGTCAAACAAAGAGACACACAGGAGAAAAAAAAAAAAACAATAAAAAACTCGTAACTAATTTTACACCACATACACTACACCACATAGTCAGCCAACCAGCCCGGGGGCCTGCAGCCTCTCCCGGGCCTGGCCACGCCCGACTGGGGAGGGACCTGGGGTGCGAGCAAGGGCGCGGGTATGGAGGGCACCACAGAAGGGGGGCCAGGAGGCATAGCTTGATACACCACCCGAGACGTAGGCACAGGCGTGGTGCCGCTTTGAAGGTGGGGTCTGTTGAGGATGGACACCCTGTCACTGCCAATCAACCTGACAGCATACTGCCTGTGAGGGCGGGCTTCCACCACTATGCCTGTCCTGTCCCAGAGCTTGGGAGCTGCGTCCTGCACACGCACCTGCGTGCCCATGGCTAGGGGGAGCTAACTGGCGGAACACCTCCCCCCGCGACAGAAGGACCCCGTCCTGGGTTTCGGCCAAGCGCACCTCCATCATACGAAATGCCCGCCGCCAGTGCTGGTCCACCTTATAGTGCTGTCTGGCCACGGGAATTCCGTCACGGAGCTGGCGGCCGGTGGCAAGTTGGGCGGGCGACTTGTTCACCCCCCGTAGAGGCGTGTTCAGGTACTGAAGGAGGGCCTGGGATGTCCTATCGCAGTCCAGGCTACCCCTGGGCCCAGTGTTATCCCTGAGGAGCCTCTTGGCGGCCTTGACCCCAGCCTCTGCCCTGCCATTGGACTGGGGGAAGTGGGCCGACGAGAGGTGCACCTATACCCCCCATGACTTGAGGAAATCTGTCATGTCAAGGCTGGCAAGGTTGGTACCTCCATCCATGGAGATCTGCTCAGGTGCCCCCCACCTCATGAAGTAACCCCGCAGACGGGCGATGATTTTTCCAGAGGTGGCCTCGTTGGGGAAGTGGGCGATCTCCAGACAACCTGTGAGTCGGTCAGCATATGCTAGGTACATGTGGCCCTGCAGGTGGAACAAATCGGCCACCACTTGTTGAAAGGGATAGTCTGGCGCTGGGGAAGGCGCGTGGGTATCGCAAGCAGCACACTGGGACCGATGATACTGCAGGTCACACTCCATGCCAGGCCAATAGACAGACTGCCGGGCCCGCCTGAGCATTGAGTCGAGGCCCT